ATAGACCACGGCTTCAAAGCCAAATGCATTTGTTAGCTGTTTTTGCGCTGGCGTTTCATCGTTACCGCCGAAATGAGAAGGCCATCCGACAAGTAGGCCGAACAGAGTCAAGAAGACGCTATTAGGCGTGTAATCGGCAGGCTCTAAAATTAGGCTCCAAAGTTTGTTTTGAGTGTATTTTKAAAATAAATATTGTAAAAATGACCTATAAGTGCTGTGTACCCAAGTGCAAAGAAAATTATAGTGGCGAATCAACAGTGAGTGTGTTCAGTTTCCCAAAAGACGATGGGTTTGTTAAAACAGTGGCTGCGACAATTTTCAGCCCACGACAAACAGCAGAATTTGTCTACACCATTTTCGACAAGATAGTATAATATGGATAAGTTCTTCCTATAACGACCAGGTTCGATTCCAACCATTTTCCCCAATGGTCCTTCTTACATGTCAAAATCTAACTCAATAAGAAGACAAAGTAGAAATAGAAAAAATGAATTACTCGAACAGGAACATTTACGAAAGGCTCTCGCAGAAAGTAAAAACAGTTTCCTCGCGTATACGAAGTCAGTAACGTTTGAAGATGTTGAACAATTTATGTATATTTTCAACTCTTGGTCTCTCCCTGATGAGTGGCATAAAACAATGACTAAACAAAATCAACTAATTCTATTTAAAAGTGAGAATTCTCCTGGACCGGTTATCACATACCCAGTTACTATAAATTCAAATTTAAAATTAGAAACTTACTTATTTGAACAAGAAATTTTTTTGCAGGTTGACAAATTTATATCTCCATTTGTTTTGAACGACATCAACATTTTATCTAGTTTATTAGAAGAAATTAATAATATAACAGTTAACAAAAGTGACGAGTCAACTATTAAACAAAACCAAACGTACCAACGCAGCATAAATCACATTTGTAACATTTAAAAAAATTGAATTGTGAAGAAAATAATGACCTGTTAGTTCTTGCTTCTGAACAGCTAATTATGTCTACACAATCCAAAGTAAGATATCGATATTCACCCGACCCTATAATTCTATGTTCGATATTAAATACAATAAGTTCACACAGCTACAGGTATTTAAGACATTACAGTGCTTTAATTTTACCACACCCCAGCACAATGAAAACTGTCTGTAATTCTTTTGTAACAGATCCTTCTGACGAGGAGGCATTCTTTTTTGAGTTACGCAAAGAATTTGTTCAAATACGTAGAAGACCGGGATTAATATATGATTTTACTTATGGATGAAATA